TCACAGAGTTTGTCACTAAAGACGCCGATGAGACGCGCGGGGGGATCGTCACGGCCTGGGACCCTCGGGTTTTATCTCTCGACACCTACTTTCAGTCACGTTTCTCTCTCACGGTCTCGCTTTGCTCCACTTGCTCTGACCTAGCCTTCTCCGTCACCAACGTCTACGCCCCTGCCGATCACTCCCTCACGGCGGCTTTCGTTGACGACGTGCTTGCCCTCGCGCCCTCCATCCTGGGGGCGTGGTTGGTGGTCGGAGACTTCAACCTCATCCGGTGGGCGCATGAAAAGAACAATAACCGCTTTGACGGGCGACGTGTGTCCACTTTTAATTCTTTAATCAACACGGTGGGGTGGCACGAGCTGCCGCTGTCCGATAGATTGTTCACCTGGTCGAATAAACGGGACCCCCCCACGCTCGCTAAGTTGGATCGGGTTTTCTTCAACTCGCGTTGGGATGTGCTCTTCCCTGACTCTTCTCTTGCCTTGCGTCCCCGTACCACCTCAGATCACTTTCCCCTCGTCGCCTCGGTCTCCACTCGCCTCCCTCAGGCAGGGCGTTTCTTCTTCGAAAATTCGTGGTTGCTGGACCCTAGCTTCCTCCCCGCGGTCTTACCTGCGTGGTCGCGTGTGCCCCGGCCCCCCTGTGCCGCGTCCCGTATTGCCCGTCAGAAGAAAGGTGTCAGGTCTGCCGCCAAGGTATGGAAACGGCACCACAAATACATTCCTGTTTTTGATAACAACTACAAGTTCCTAGTGGACCTGTTTGACTTCCTTGAGGAGCACCGGCGGCTCGCGGCTGCGGAGATGGCGTTGCGCGACGACGCCCGTCTGGCACTTGCCAACTCGGTGGCTCGCCAGGCTGCTTTCTGGAGGCAGCGTGGGAAATGCCGAGCCATGGAGGAAGGGGACGAAAATACCGGCTACTTCCACGCCCGTGCTTCGCATCGACGGCGTTGCAACACCATCCGGGTGCTCGCGGTGGGAGGGGGCGAGCTCGTCTCCCACAACGACAAGGAGGCCGCCCTGAGACGCTTCTACGCCAACCTGCTGGGCCGGGCTCCCCGCGCATCGTGGGGGTTCGATCTGGCGGCGCTTTACACTGGCGCTCCGATGGTCGATGGGGCTCCGCTGGTTGAGCCGTTCTCTCGCTCCGAGGTCCGGGAGGCTGTCTTCGCTCTCGACAGGACCAGCGCGCCGGGGCCGGATGGGCTCGGCCCGGCCTTCTACCAGGCCACCTGGAGCGTGGTCGCGGACGACCTGCTCGCCCTTTTCGACGCCGTCCACAACGGCACTGCTAATCTCGGCGGGATCAACCGCGCCCTCATCGCCCTCCTTCCCAAAAAGGAGGGGACCCCGGGGCCCGGCGACTTCCGTCCCGTCTCTCTTTAGAACGGTGATGTGAAGATCCTGTGTCGGGGGCTCACCACTCGGCTTCAGCGGCAGATTGGGCTCTTGATCGACGATGACCAATCCGGGTTCCTGCCTGGGAGAAGTATCTCGGAGAATTTCGTCTACGCGGCGGAACTTATCCAATGTTGCAAGAAGAGGGGGGCGCCGACGCTGGTGTTCAAACTTGACTTCGCCAAGGCCTTCGACTCCATCGCCTGGCCCAGTCTTCGCCGGATCATGGAGGTGAGGGGTTTCCCCGCTAGGTGGTGTGACTGGATGGACCTCATCCTCTCGTCCTCCACGGCGGCGGTCCTCCTCAATGGGGTGCCCGGGCGGTGGTTCGTCGTCCGCAAGGGGCTGCGTCAGGGCGACCCCATGTCCCCGTACCTCTTCCTCCTGGTCGCCGATGTACTCCAGCGCATGATCCGCTCCGACACTGCACTGCAGCACCCTTTGGTCGATGGCGCGCCCCCCGTGGTGCTTCAGTATGCTGATGACACGCTTATCATTATGCGTGCGGCCCCCGAGGGCGCGGCCCGGCTGCGGATCGTCCTCGACCTCTTCGCCGAAGCTACCGGGCTTGTCATCAACTTCAACAAGAGCACTCTCGTTCCCATGCATGTCGCCCCTGACGTGTTGGCGGCTGTTGTGGCGTCCTTTGAGTGCTCCGTCGGCTCCTTCCCCCAGACCTACCTGGGACTGCCGCTCTCCAGCGACAAGCTTACAATGGAGGACTTCGCCCCGATGATCGCTAAGGTCGACCGCTACCTTGCCGGGTGGCGGGCGAGGCTTCTGTCGCCCGCGGGGCGCCTGGTGCTCATCAACGCGGTCCTTGACTCGCTCCCCACGTACGCCATGGCCGCCATGCGGCTGCCGCCCAAGGTCCTGCATAAGCTTGACGGCCTACGACGCGCGTTCCTTTGGAATGTGGCAGATAGAGCGTCAGGCGCCCAGTGCCTCGTCGCCTGGGATCAGGTCTGCCGGTCGAAGGCGGAGGGCGGTCTCGGGGTACGAGCCCTGGGTGTGCAAAACGATTGCCTCCTTCTCAAACTGCTGCACCGCCTCCACTCTAGCACGCCGTCGAGGTGGGCCTCCTGGGTCTGGGGCCAACTGGCGGGGCGGTCCCTCCTCGGTGCCAGGCGCTCCCCTCTGGTGGGTGAGCACTGGTCGGCCCTCCTGCGGCTGCTCCCGGTGTACAGAGCTCTCACCAAGGTGGAGGCGGGGGATGGGCGCGCGACCTCCTTCTGGCATGACCACTGGCTCCCCTACGGGCTTCTCCGGGCGGCCTTCCCCGCCCTGTTCACTCATGCCGCCTGCCCCGAGGCTACGGTCTGGGAGGCGCGCCGCCGCGGCGTTCGCGCGCTGCTGGTGCCCCGGCTCACCCCGCGGGCGGTCTGGGAGCTTGAGGCGGTTCAACGACTTGTGGAGGCACGCCCCCCTCTAAATGAGCCCGACGTCCGGTCTGTCACGCTTTGCGCGGCACGCGGCGGTGGACTCTCCTCTCGGGGCGCATACGCCCTCTCCCACTACGGCGGGGTGGCCGCGCCCGCTGCCTCCTTCCTTTGGTCTTCCCGTGCTCCCTCAAGAGTGAAGTTCTTCGGGTGGCTGCTCATCCAATCCCGTGTGCATACGCGGGACGTGCTGCTGCGCAAAACCATCCTCACCGCCGAGGAGGCTGGGTGCCCCTGCTGCAATGTGGAGCTCGAGACGGCCGACCACCTCATCTTCGGGTGTCCGTTCGCGGCGCAATTTTGGCGTAGGATCGGGCTGCCCCCGCCGCGGGCTCGGTCCGTGCGCTTCATCGCTTCGACGTGTCGCCGGTCGTCGGCAACAACTCCCCTGCGAGCTTCGTCCTTCTCTGCTGCTGGTGGCTTTGGAAACGCCGCAATGCATGTGTCTTCCGGGGAGACGAGTGTCCCTGGTCGCTACGCTCAAGGCCTGTCGAGATGACGCGGTGCTCTGGCGTGGCCGGATGAAGGCCGATGATCAGTCCCACATCGACGTTTGGTTGTCTGTCCTTAGCTGAGCCGCGTGACTCGCGAACTATGAGAGTTGCGCTACGCTCTCGCCCCCTCTTGTACTGAATATACTATCGGGTGGTTTTGCCCTTTTAC